TGAATAACATGTTGTTGTTGTTGTTGTTATGTGCTGTCGAGTCGGCCCCGACTCATAGCGACCCCTCCTTGGGTTTCCGAGGCAGTATCACTTCGGAAGTAGGATTGCCCAACCTTCCTTCTGAGGAGTGGCTGGTGGGTTTGAACCATGAATAACATAGGTGTGATTAAATCAGGTATCATTGGAAAAGGGAGTACAAAAGTTGATTTGTGCTTTCAAAAAGAAATATGCAGTAATATATTCTCATTTTAAAAATCTTTATGCATAAATATTAGAAAGTAGAATCATTTAATTGTTTTACATTCTAATTGGTGTTTAATAATACTCTTTATAAAATTTTTTCAGAGACTTATTTCGAAACTCCAACTTAAAACCAACTAATAAGAGATGCGGGCAAAGACCACCAAAGCTGACAACTGTACCTCATTCTCAGTGTGTTTTTATTTCTCGAAATTTTCATACTGGAAGATTTCAATTACAGGTAAGAACCATACAAAACCCGCTGCCATCCAGTCGATTCCAACTCAATAGAGACCTGCTTTGGGTTTCTGAGGTGGTAAATCTTTACGAAGCAGATTGCCTAGTCTTCCTTCCAGGAGTGGCTGGTGGGTTTGAACCTTCAACCTTCTGGTTAGCAGTCAAATGCCTTAGGCACTACGCCACCAGATAGAGAGTAATATTTTATAGCAACATTTTAAAATAATTTCTAGCATTGTTTTTTAAGTTTAAAAAACATAATATCTATGTATCTCTAGCCTGAGAACCAGTGTTCCCCATGGTGAGATTATTTTGAAGATGAAGATATGAGCAAAATATATGAGCACATGGCATAAGGAAAACTCAGGTGTGTCAGAAGAAAGAGATTCAGAGATTAGTTATATTGAGACTACATAGTGAATTCAGTTCAACAAGGATTTATTGAGCCTTCATTATATTTCAGATTCTGTGCCTCCCTCCTAGAGTTGGTAAATATGGTCCCTACACTCAAGGAACTTGTATAGTGTGAGTAAGAGAGGCAGATACATAATTTACTTAAGTTTTATGTGGTGTCAAAATAGTACTATTGGAATAAAGTAAACAAGACAGAAACCAGTAGAAATGTAAAATAGGATATGGCTCATCAAAACAAAAACAATTGAATGACCTTACATCATTAACAGATAAATTGATGTTGTTGTTGTTGTTATGTGCCATCGAGTTGAACCTGACTCATAACGACCCCTCCTTGGGTTTCCGAGGTGGTATCACTACGGAATTAGATTGCCCAACCTTCCTTCTGAGATAAATTAATAGGAAGTCAAAGTTTCTCTATGCATCTTGAGTACTGAATTCAGTATTCATTCATTTGCTAAATGAACACTGAATGCCTCACATATGGCAGCACTAATCTAGGGAGCTCTGGTAGCATAGTGGCTAAGACACTTGCCTGCTAACCAGACGGCTGGCGGTTCAAACCCACCAGCCACTCCTCGGAAGGAAGGTTGGGCAATCCTACTTCCGTAGTGATACTGCCTCGGAAACCCAAGGAGGAGTCGCTATGAGTCGGGGCCGACTCCACGGCACATAACAACAACAACAACAACAACAATCTAGGCAATGAAGCTAAATAAACAAGATATGAACCCAGTCCCAGATCAACCCAAAGTGTAGTAGAGAAGAAAGAGGTATAAACTGATAATTACAATCTAATTTGATAAGAGCTCAGTAGTTGAAGAAGCCCAAACAAGGGAGCTTAAATTGAGGAAGTCTTCACATAGAAAGGAGCTCTGGTAGCATAGTGCCTAAGGCACTTGACTGCAACCAGAAGGCTGGCAGTTAAAACCCATCAGCCACTCCTCCTAAGAAAGGTTGGGCAATCTACTTCTGCAGTGATACTGCCTCGGAAACCCAAGGAGGGGTCACTATGAGTCGGGCACATAACAACAACAACAATCACAGACAAGGGAGTCCCTGGATGATGCAAACACTCAGCTGCTAACCAAAATGTTGGAAGTTTGAGTCCACCCAGAGGTACCTCAGAAGAAAGGCCTGGCAATCTACTTCTGAAGACTCAGCCATTGAAAACCCCATGGAGCACAAGTCTACCCTAACATATGATGCACCATGAGTTGGAGTTAATTGACAACAACCGGTTCTAGTTTCACAGAGAAGACATTTGAGTTGGATTTTGAGAAATAAATAGAAGTTTGCCAGGAAGAAAGGACAAAAGACATTCTATGTTCATAGGCTCTCAGCTATGAAAGAAAGTTAACATGTTCAATAAAAATGTTATGATATTTGGAACCTAGAACTTGTAGAAAGGAATTGGGGGTGGGGAGAATCCCGGAGATGGGATTGTGATAAGCCTCATTAGGATCCAGAGAATTTTGGATTTTACCTCATAAGCTATACAGATTCACTCAAAGCATTATAGGATTCTCGTCAAGAGCATAGACTGTACAGCCAAATCCCTCATGTTTGAATTGTGGCTACTAGCTAGCCTTTGATATCCTTTCTAGTTGTGAGATAATCAGTCAATTTTAATATTAATGAGCCTCTTCATAAATTTGCCTTTAATGGCAAAGGAAATTAAAATAAATGAGATGCATTTGTCAATTTTGCAGGTGTTGCTGCAACTATTTTTAAATTATCTTCAGCAAAACTTTATTTGTGTGTGATTTAATGATACTGTTTGATAATTTCCACATTCTATTGGATTCTATTTCTTTGGAATAGGCATAAATATAGATCTCTTCTAGTTGGTTGGCCAGGTAAATGTCTTCCAAAATTTCTTGACAAAGATGAGTGAGTGCTTCCAGAATTGCATCTGTTTGTTGGAACATCTCAACTGGTATTCCATCAATTCTTAGAGCCATGTTTTTCAGTGTCTTCAGTGCCTCTTGAACTTCTTCCTTCAATACCATCAGGGCTTGAACAATTGCTACATCATGAAATGGTTGAACATTGACCAGTTCTTATTGGTGCAGTGACTGTGTATTCCTTCTATCTTCTTTTGATGCTTTCTACATCATTCAATATTTTGCCCATTGAATCCTTCAATATTGCAATTTGAGGCATGACTTCTTTTTTCAGTTCTTTCAGCCTGAGAAACGCTGAGGGGGGTTTTCTCTTTTGGTTTTCTAACTCCAGGTTTTTGTTTATTTCATTGCAATATTTTATTTTATCTCCTCAAGCTTCCCTTTGAAATCTTCTGTTTAGCTCTTTCATGTCCTTTCTTCTTTTTACTTTAGTTACTCTCCATTCAAGGGCAAGTTGCAGAGACTCTTCTGACATCTATTTTGATCTTTTCTTTCTTTCCTGAGTTTTTAATGACCTTTTACTTTCTTCATGTATTATGTCCTTGATATCATCCCACAAATCATCTGGTCTTCAATCTTAGTGCTCCATGTGCCAAATCTATTCTTTTCTTTTTTGCTTCCCTTTTCTTTCTTTCTTTCTTTTCTTTTTTTAAAATTGTGCTTTGGGTGCAAATTTACATAGCAAACTTGTTTTACATTCAACAGTTCATGCACATCTGGTTTCATGGCCCCAATTACCATCCCCAACCATAAGAAACTATCTTCCCTTCTCATCCCAGTCCCTCCCTGTGCCCTTCTCATCCATGCATTCCTGTCTGTCCAGCATTTCCTGTGTGTGAGTGCTACTCCTCTGGTGCTCATGGCTGCTTGATCCAAGGGGTACATCTCCCTAGAGTAGGGGGAGTGCATTGCCCTGGGGTAGGTGTTCTGACAGCCAATCCATGTAAGTGAGTCAATTTCTAGGCTCAAAGGGTAACCCAGGGCCATAGTCTCAAGGGTTCCACCAGTCTTTATCTGACCAGTAATTGTGGTCATTTTTGTGTTTTTGAATTTTGTTCCACATCTTCTCACTCTATCCAGGATCTCCAGGTTTGATCCCTTTCCTAGAGATTGATATTGGTAGCTGGACACCATCTAGTTCTTCTGGTCTCAGGTCATGAAGGCTGAGGTCCTCATGGTCCATCTTATCCTTGGGCTAATTTTTTCCAGATGACTTCGATTTTCTTCACTCTTCTTTGCTCCAGCCAAGGGGAGAACAATAGTTGCATCTTAGATGACCACTCTATAGCTTTTAAGACCCCAATCACTACTCACCAAAGTAGGTTGTAGAACAAAATTGTTATGAACTATGTGTGCCAATTGAGTGTGATGTCCCCTGAGACTATGGTCCCAAGCCCCCAGGCCTAGTGATTCTCTTTCACAGGATATTTGGTTGTCTCTGCAAAGTTCCTCCCACCCTGTCTTCTGTTGCTTCTGTAAAGTACATGATTAATTTTGTAGCACAAGTGCACATGTAAGATTATCTTCAGCCAAAGCTATCCTTGGTCTAGGGTGTATTCCTGTTCGTCTACCCCCACCTGCTCTTCCCACCTGTCTATGCGTTAATCTATAGCCTGGTATTTGGTACTAGCGATACTGCAGTGTTGTGCCTGTAATAGCATTTGCCTCTGTTGTCTATATCTTTTATGTATATTTCAGTGTCTTTCCTTTCCCCGATGTCATCATGCTGGTCACAGACTCTTCCCATACCATTCCTCCCCTTACCCAAATCAACATGTGACCCCCAAATGGTCTGAGATTTTCCTTCTCCTTCCCTCCTGGCCCCAGTAACCAACTGAGTGAGCCAAATCTATTCTTGAGATGGTCTCTAAATTCAGGTGGGATATAATCAAGATTATACTTTGGCTCTCATAGACTTGTTTTAATTTTCTTCAGCTTCACATTGAACTTACATATGAGCAATTGACAATCTGTTCTGCAGTTTGCCCCTGAGCTTGTTCTGACTGATGACATTGAGCTTCTCCATTGTCTCTTTCCACAGATGTAGTTGATTTGACTCCTGTATACTCCATCTAGCAAGGTCCACATGTTTAGTCACCATTTATGTTGTAAAAAAAAAAAATGGTGTTTGCAATGAATAAGTTGTTGGTCTTGCAAAATTCTCTCATACTATCTCTCACATCATTCCTATCAACAAAGCCATGTTTCCCAGCTATTGATACTTCTTCCTGTTTCCAACTTTGACACTTCAATTAGCAGTAGTTATCAATGTCTGATCAATTTCACACTGCAGAAGTTGGTAAAAATCTTCAATTTCTTTCTCTTTGAGACTCTTCATCTTTGGCATCTTTGGCATTAGTGATAGGTGTATAAACTGGTTTTCCTTCTAGGGGTATGAATATTACTCTATCATTGACAGCATTGTACTTCAGGATTGATCTTGAAATGTTCTTTTTTATGATGAATGTGATGCCATTCCGCTTTAATGTCTCATTCCTGGCATGGTAGACCATATGATTAGCCAATTCAAAACAGCAAATACCAGTCCATATCAGGTCACTAATGCCTAGGATATCGACCTTTATGTGTTCCATTTCATTTTTGACAACTTCCAGTTTCTCTTGATTCATACTTTGTACACGCCACATTCCAGTTATTAATGTATTTTTTCAGCTGTTTCTTC